TGCTCTTCCTCTTCCCCTTCTGGGACCCCTATAATTCAAATGTTGAAACGTTTAAAGCTGGCCTGGAGGTTCCTAAGCCTCTCCTCATTTTTTTTAATTCTTATTTCTTCATTCTTTTCTGATTGGATGTTTCTTTCTTCCTTCTGGTCCACTCCATTGATTTGAGTCCCAGTTTTCTTCAATCACTATTGATTCCCTGTACATTTTCCTTTATTTTGCTTACTATAGCCTTCATTTTTTCACATAATTTGTGACCAAATTCAACCAATTCTGTGAGCATCCTGATTACCAGTGCTTTGAACTGTGCATGTGATAGGCTGGCTATCTCTTCATCGCTTAGTTTTATTTGCTGTGGAGCTTTGATCTGTTCTTCCATTTGAACCAATTTTTTTTGTCTTGTCATGCCTGTTACATATGAAGGACGGAGCCTTAGGTGTTCACCAGGGTGGGGCAACCCAGTCTCTAGGTTGTGACGCTGTACATGGGGGAAGGGACTGAGAGGGAACAATGGCACTTGCTCTGCTCTCTGCTGGATTTCAGTCCTTTCCACCACTTCCCCCAAGCAAATTGGGACCTTCTGGTGCTGAGTCCCATGTGGGTGGGTTCATGTACATTCTAGGACCCTGTGGGTCTCTCCAACAAACTCTTCTGTGAGGCTGGGAGTCTCTCGAGGCACCTCAACCCTCACAGGTGTTTTCAATTGGTGATTTGAGGCTTTATTTCCTGGTGCTGGGACCCTGGGTTGCCTGATCTGTCTTGCTTCCCAGTTTTGCCTGGTTTATCTGTTTATGCAAATGTGGAACAGCCAGTCAGCTCCCTTGTGCACTGCACCCTGCTCCACAATTACGCCACGCTGGGTCTGCCTGCTGCAACCCCGCACCCGGGGTCCACCTGCTGCTGTCTTGCACAGCTGGAGTCTGCAAGCCACCGCTTTTTTTGCTGCAACCCCTCTCTGCCCAGCTGCCCGACTCTGCCCATCCTATTGGTCTGGATGAAAGTCTCTACTTTAACTCCTTGGTTGATGGACATTCATACAGTTCAATTTTCTATCAGTTCTGGTTGTTATTTTATCTCTAAATTGTTGTTGTCCTTATTTTGGTTGTACGAGGCGGCACAGTGTGTCTACCTATGCCTCCATCTTGGCTGGAAGTCCTGGTTTTCTTCTTTATATGAAATTATATAAATAAAATTTTATTTTTAGTCTCATTAAAACTATTTTTTGTGTTTAAGTGACATGACATTTTTAAACCTTGATAAAATTATCAAAATTTAATTTAAAAGAATGCTACTTGTGACTGTTTGTATGAGAAAAATCCTTGGCAAACCCTATTTTTCTTCCTTCTTCAAAATACAAAATGGTGTAAGCAGCAGGATTTTTGCATAGGTACTAGATTTCACTGCAGCTAAATAGTCCTGCCATCTCTAATATCTTCTTATGCCCAGGACAGCTCCCTGAGTACAAGCATGTGCTGAAAATCATATAAGTCTGCTGCCACTGGAGTCACCAGGTTCCAGTGGTTTTGTCCTCTGGAAATACCACCCAACATCAAATCTCCAAGTGATGGGTGGACCTAGAGGATATCATACTCAGTGAAATAAGTCATACAGAAAAAGACAAATACTGTATAATTTCATTTACATCTGGAATCTAAAAAACAAAACAGAACAGAAACCAACTCATAGATACAGAGAAAAAACTGATGGTTGCCAGATGGGAAGGAAATAGGGGGATGAAGGGAATTAAGATGCATAAACTTCCAGTCATAAAATTAGTAATTTGGGATGTAATGTACAGCATAGACAATATTGTTAATAATATTGTCATATCTGTGTATGGTGACAGATGGTTCCTAGATTTACCTTAGTGGTCACTTCGTGAGGTATGTAAATGTTTAATCAGTATGTTGTATACCTGAAATAAACATAGTATCATATGTCATATAATTAAAAGTAAGTTTCTTTAAAAAAAATCTCTGAATGAGATCTTGCTGAATCTCATCAACTACTGCTATTAGACATGACTGAAGAAGTCTTTCAAATAATCCAGAGCATCTCTCATTCGTGCATGCTCACTGGTGATGAGGGTATCATTGTATTTCTGTTGAAAATGAACACTGAGTTTTAATGTATTTCTAATGTCTAATGCATTGGCTATTATTAAGTTCAGTTATCTGTCTTTAACATGGAATTGATTTTAAGAACAAACTTTTCTTAAATCTGAAAAAAAGGAACACACGGGCAAAATTTCAACATTTCTTATTCTGGTACCAATGCACTTTTTGTAACCTTCTTTATAATTCATGAACTTCTATAATCTCATTTTTCTCTATTTGAAACCCAGAATATTCATATTTCCTTCTCCTTCCAGGATAGTATACTGAGAGGCCATTTGTGAAATCAAGCTGGAGACCGAAGGATTGACACAGGAAGGAGAGAATCCTCACAGAAATGTCCCTATTTTTTTCAACTTTAAAAGGTTTTAATGGGAGAACTCAAGAATTAAAAATGTTTAGTTATAGTTAATATGTTTAGTGATTAATGCATGTAGAAAGCTGTTGTTGCAGGAACTGGAATGCATGACCAGACCTACCCTGACTCCAGGAGGCCCCGAAGAAATTCGACCTTTGTGCCCCAGGAAGACTGCAAGCAATCAAGATGGTATCTGAGCCACTGGACTCCAGGGAGGGAACACCCACCAACCAGGACACAGATAAAGAATTGCTGGGAAGCTAGGAAAATCTATATACTGCAACTTTTATAAGATTAACCTTTTCCCCTGAATTCCAAACCCTACCCTTTTATTCTCCTAATAAAAAGGTCTGCTTGAGATGAGATATTAAGATGGTTTTCTAGGGTACATAACCTGCTGTCTTCTTAGACTGCTGGCATCTGAATAAAGTATCCATTAAGATTCAATCCTTGTCTCTACTTATTGGTTCTGGTAGTGACAGGCAGGATGAATGCTGAGTTTTCTGGTTTCAGCTTCTCACATTCAAAAGTAGGATTTGTTTGTCTGTTGTTTGTTTCCAAAGTGGGAATTAATTCTTTATGTGCATGTTGTTAAACTTTAACTCTTGACAGATTTGTTTGTTGTTTTTGTTTTGTTTTATTCATCTTTTAGAAACCATGGATATGCAACATGTTTTTTTTCAACAATTTTCTTAAAACTTGAACAGAATTTACCACATTTATTCTAATAGTTATTAAGCACAAGGTGTTAAATAAAAATTAGTTGAGTGTATTGTTTTCTTTTTTTAAAGATTTTATTTATTTTTATTAGAGAGCGAGAAAGAGAGAGAAAAACATCAATGTATGGCTGCCTCTCACATGCCCCCAGCTGGGGACCAGTCATGTGTCTTGACTGGGAATTGAACCAGTGACTCTTTGGTTTGCAGGCTGGCACTCAATCCACTGGGCCACACTAGCTAGGACTTGTTGAGTATATTTTTATTACATCATCAGAATTTTTAGAATATAATTAGTTGATTGCTACTGACATACCTGTAAACTCAGTTACTGTGGGTTTAAAAAGCTAAGAGTGTTTATGAAAGCATTCCACATGCACACACCCTCCTGCTCTACGTGGGAAACAACAGCTTTGGTTATTGTCACTGGACACTGGGTGTCAGTACTTTGACCTAGACTGGAGGGAAGAAGGAAAAAGATGGAGGAAGGGACCACAGGAAGGAACCAAATTTAAATTTTACTGTGAAAGGAGCTGAGGGAGGAGAATGTTTGAGGGAGGAGGAGACACCACATTCTTGGAAGGGGGAGTTGTCAGGACAACAAACCAGTAGGGGAGGTCACCTGAGAGTTGGGCTGCACTTTCTTTCTCTATGGCTAGCTCTTTTGTTCTTGTCTGAGTCTCATAGCTGTGAATGTCCTTCAGGCAAGAAGCAACAAGTTGCTGGCTGAGGCACTTCTGGAGGTGGTCGGTGGAAGGCAGAGGGCTTATGCTCCTCTTTGCTAGATTCTCTCTGCCACCTGCAAAGTTTCTATTAATGGGATCTGGACCCAGTCAGGAACAAGGACTTAATACTTGTCTACCAGCCCTCTCTCCCCACTCTGCACTGGGCACTTCCCATTTGAAAGCCTGGCTGCCAGGCTCTGGGTCCCTGGCATACTGCTCACTCTGGCCTTTCCCTTTTGTTGCCCTAAGGACTGTGCGTTGTGAGTCAAGTCACTGGGCAATGTGTTCAGAAAAGTCCAATGCTCTTTGGCAGCTACGGCTCATTCCAGACAATGTGGCAGAGAAAGGAGGGCATCAGGCTCAGGGGGACCCATTCTGGCCTTCCTACCAGCTCCCCTTCCCTGACAACTAATCATACTCCTTCTGAAGGGGCTCATATGGAATATTCTATGGCCAGGTAGATGCCACCTCTCCTCTTGCTCAGGTGAGGGCTGGTAGCTCCTCCCTGTTAAATACACATCTCAATGCCTTTCTTCCAAGTAAGTTTTGCAATAATAGAGCTGTCACTGTGAACAGGTGGGACAGGAGTGAAAGAGATCCTTCACCTGCTTCTGTTGCTACTGCTGGCTCAAGGACAGGAGACAAAGACAGGTGAGACCTGCTTTTCTTTCTATCAGGAAAGATTCTAAGCTAAGGCCATGCTTTTCATTGAGTCCTGGGGTTTTGTGGTTTTGGACACTTAAGTAGTGAAAGTTTTTTCTTTCTAACTGCTTTCCCTCTAGGCCATAAAAGTTCTTTCCTTCTTCCTTTCTATTTTATTTTAAATCTCCCAGCTCCTTTCAGGAGTTGCTGCACCTTTAGATTGTGACATCCTTCCTCATTTGCAAATCTTAGCTGTGTCTGGGGGCAGGGCTGCAGTAGAGCTGCCAGGAGCAGAACAAAAGGTTTCCAAGTAATAGCACCACATCAGACACAGGGAAACAGAGGGCAGATCAATCTGGGATGTGCTGGGCACCAGGAGGCTCCCTTCTCAAGGACATTTAGGATCGAAGCTGACATTTTCTTTCCTTCATATACTTCACGTGGTTTGGCGCCTAAAGCACATTTGAGAACAGGTATGATTGAGTTCCATTTTTTTTATTTAAAGAGCTTGTAGATTCAGGTCTATGGATTGGGGTGGGGGAACATCCAATAAGAAATCCAGTCACATGAATCTCATAGCCATGTGCGCTGCATGGGGATGGTCCAGCAGGCATTTGGAATAGACTTGACTTTGGAATGCAGTTGATCTGATTGCTTCTTGGCAGTTTCTCCTTCCCAATTATGTTTGGCGTAGTCTAGCAGTCAAATTACTTTGCAGTCCCTAAGGTGATCCAGAAAGCATACACAGGGGACAGAGAGAATACTGTCTAAAAAGCAGACTGGATGGTGGGGCATGGAGGGAGGGTTCTGATTGGAAATGTTTGTTGAATTATCTACAACCCAGTCCAAAGAAAGGTGACTGCATATTAGACCTTGGCCCTTTGTTAAGCCCAAAAAGCTGGATGTAACTAGCATCTTTAGAATTCTGGTCAAAAAGTTATTGTGCAGCCTTTCAATTGCTTTGTTCCCTGAATGCCATTCAAGAAGAGATATGATAGGTATTTTGCATTAGTGTCATTGAAAATATAAAATTTCTCATAATGAATATATATGCTGTCTCACAGATTTAGCAATCTTCTTAAAATCTAGCATCAGGACTCTGCATTACATCGGTAAACGAATGCCTTGAAAATTTGAGTTCCAATCTGAATGTAGTAATTCTGCCAGAGTGAAGCTCAGGTTTTTCCTTTTTACAGTTTAGGAAGGAAGTGTTTGCATAAAATTTGACACTTCAAGCAAGATATCAAGTAGAATGGTGAACTGCTCAAGAGACTGGACTGGTTCTTCTAATGACTTTATGGAACTAATTATTCACCTGAGAATATATGCCTGAATTATTAAGTAGCTCAGCCCCTTATTAAGTTTAAAAAATAAAACAGTTTCTCATTGGAAGGGCCTTATATAGAAAGTCTAATGAATGGAATGTGTCTGTATTCAAGCAATATTAAAGTTCAGACACCACTAATACAGTGTGGTCAACCTCTACCCTACCAAATGGAAATTAGTTGAGTTTTATGATTTAAAGGTTAAAATAGAAAAGAATAGTAATATTTTTAAGTCTTTGTGGTACAATGACTAAGAAACAACTTTCCATCCTCTCCCTCTAATGATGAAAAGAAGTATGGTGAGGTTCACTAAAAACCAACAATCTGGAGATTTTAGCTACTATTTTGATAGTACATTTTGGTGAAATAAAATTATTGCCTGGAAAACCATTCATCCATAGACTCTCCATGATGCAGTACTATGCAGTAACCAAGAATTCCTATTTCCTCTGCTTTCAAGTCAATTACTTCACCTCTCTAAGCTCAAGATTACCTATAAAACGGAAGTGATGGTACCAATCTCATAGGGTTGTCAGGAAGATTAAATAATATTGTTATATATTGTATTGCAGGAAACACTAGCAGAGTGGCTAAAACAGTAAGTGCTGAATAAATGGCTTTATATATACACCTTATATGCATACACTGATATAATATGCACATTTCTTACATTTTGATCATTTTTTGATTCTACCACTTAGAAGCAGGATCATTTTTCTGATCCTATCATCCTCAAACACAGTAGAGTATCCTGCTATACAGTAGTAGGTCTGATGACTTACTTAAGGAAGGAAAAAGGAAAATTTTAAGTATATTTTATTGATTATGCTATCACAGTTGTCCCAATATTTTTCTCCCCTTTATCCCCCTCTGCTCTGCACCCCTCCACCCTCCAGCACACCCCCTGCCTTAGTTCTAGTCCATGGGTCATACATATAAGGTCTTTGGATTCTCCATGTCCTTTATTTTACTCTTAACATCCTCCTGTCTATTTTGTACCTACCATTTATGCTTCTCATTCCCTGTACCTTTTTCCCATTCTCTTCCTCCCCCTCCCCACTGATAACCCTCCATGTGACCTCCATTTCTGTGATTCTTTTCCTTTTCTAGTTGTGCACTTAGTTTTTGTTTCTTAGGTTCAATTGTTGATAGTTGTGAGTTTGTTGTCATTTTACTGTCCATAGTTTTTGATGTCCTTCTTTTTCTTAAATAAGTCCCTTTAACATTTCATAAAATAAGGGCTTGGTAATGATCAACTCCTTTAACTTGACCTTATCTGGGAAGTACTTTATCTGCCCTTCCATTCTAAATGATAGCTTGGCTGGATAGAGTAATATCGGATGTAGGTCCTTGCCTTTCATGACTTCGAATACTTCTTTCCAGCCCCTTCTTGCCTGCAAGATTTCTTCTGAGAAGTCAGCTGATAGTCTTATGGGCACCCCTCTGTAGGGAACTGTCTCTTTTTCTTGTGCTGCTTTTAGGATTCTCTCCTTATCTTTAATCTTGGATATCTTTATTATTATCTGTCTTGGTGTGCTTCTTCTTGGGTCTAACTTCCTTGGGACACTCTGAGCTTCCTGAAAATCTATTTCTTCACGATTCTGGGAAAGTTTTCCAATAAATTTTCAATTTCTTGCTCTTCGTCTTCTTCTATGGCACCCCTATTATTTGGGTGTTAGAATGTTTAAAGTTGTCCCAGAGGTTCATCAGCCTCTCCTCATTTTTTGAATTATCGTTTCTTTATTCTGTTCTGATTCAATGTTTATTTCTTCCTTCTGTTCCAAATCCTTGATTTAAATGCTGGTTTCCTTCCCTTCACTGTTAGTTTCCTGTGTATTTTCCTTTATTTCACTTCATATAGTCTTTGTTTCTTCCTTCATTTTGCAACCAAAGTCAGTCATTTCTGTGAGCATCCTGATTACCAGTGTTTTGAACTCTGCATCTGATAGGTTGTCTATCTCCTCATTGCTTAGTTCTTTGTTTTGGAATTTTGATCTGTTCTTTCATTTGGACCATATTTCTTTGTCTTGGAACACCTATTACCGTATAAGTGGTGGAGTCTTAAGTATTCACCAGGGCAGGGCAACCCACTTCGCTCTACATTGTGGCACTTCAGTCTGAACGAATGTTTCTTTAACTTCTTGGTTGTCAGACTTCCATACAGTTCGATTTTCTAGCAGTTCTAGTTGTTTTTGTTTTTAAGTTGGTTGTTATCCTTCTTTTGGTTGTGTGAGGGAGAGAAGTGTTTCTGCCTCTGCCTCCATCTTGTCTTGAACTGCCATGTTAATTATTTGGGAAAAAGGAAATTTAACTGATATTGACAACTAGATACTGACATTTGATAACATGAGTTCACTCTGTTCTTGTCTTCCACTAAAAAAACAGTCAAGAATAACAACCTTTTCTTTTCAGTGGTGAGTAATCTAGTAAATGAATCAACCTTCACAGGTGTATATTGTTTTTCTCCATCAATTTTAATTATGTGCACAGTCACTATAAAGTTTCTGAATCAACTTCCTGAGAATCCCATTTGAAAGCTATGATTCAAATTAATTGTAATTAGCATTTGTGAAATTTTTCACTCTCTTTTCTTAAAATTACAAAATATCCCCTTTATATGTGCACACTGGACTGCCAAACCTGTTTTGGGACAACCTCTCCCACTCACAAGTGGTGTGGGCTTGGATAAATCACACCCAACATCTCTGAGCTTCTGTTTTCCTTGCCCTGAACCAAACTTTCAGAACTGCTTGCTTGACTTTCCAAACAGTGTTGGAGAAACCAGCAGACAAACTTACAATCCATCAAAATATTTAAAAGATCAAAAAAGATAAAAACCACACCCATTGCTGAAGTAGGATAATCACTAAAGCAAACAATTTGGTTTTGCCAAACAGGAGATCCAAACAAACTCCTATAACTTTGAAGGTGAAAAATAGGGTGAGTTAGGAAGGAATACACAAACACACACTGCCCTTCAAGTGATGGGATGAAATTAAAAGAGCTCTATCCCTTTGGATAGGAATCTCCACCAATCCAAGCTCTGCTTTTCAGATGAGAAAGGGATTGTTAACAGTAGAAATGACCTGCCAAGTGTCTTTATAGAACTCAAACAGTTTGCTTCAGCAACACCCATGTCTTTCCAGTTCTTCCATACTCTCTTGCCTAGGGCAACCTCCCATCAGCCACCAGCCTCAGAGTGCCACCTGTCTTACAATATCCTCCTAAGGATATCCATCAGTCAGGCAAGTTGGGGGAAAGAGTTTCAGGTTACCCTGATGTCTGGGAAAGTGATTTTCCCTCTCCAATTAAAAAATGCTGGGTAGAAGGAGGAGAAAAAACAAAAAAAGGAAGAAGAAAAGAGAGACAGAAAGCTTAAAGTGGACATTTGGGTCATCACTACCATTCATTGGTGCAGATGTGTGTAGATGTGAGCACTTCAACAGTGAGTAGTAGGTAGGCATGCTGCCATCTCTAAGTACAGAAAACAGCATTTTTTGTAGTGAAAAATGCACTCGTCAAATAAAGTGTCCATTAAGAATTAATGTATCTCATTTATTTTTTAATATATAATCTGTATTATATTTTCTCCATTACCATTTGGTCCCCTTATACCCCCTTCCTCCAGCAATTGCCTATTGTCCATGTCCATGAGTCCTTTCTCTTTTTTGCTCAATCCTTGATTTCAAGTTTTAGAAAAACTCTTCCAAACAATTTCAAACCCATTAATGAACACAAATAATGACAATGAGTTGAGTTCAGAATATATGCCAACACACATGGAATTGGGATGATAAACATAAATAAGAAGAATTTTTTCTTAATTGTCTCACTCTCTTGGAGAATTTAAGATGGCTTTTACTATCATCTGTATGTTAATCTCCTCTAACCTCTTCCTTTGCTGCTCATTTGAGTAATTGCAGTAGATTTTTCATTGAGTTGTAATGAAGAGTCAACGAGTTAATGTACATGAAGCACTTAGAAGAGTGAGTGGCATGAAAAGGCATTCAGTAAATGTAAATTATTACTTCTACTTACTGTTATTGTAACACTACTATCAATATAATTAAGACAAATATTCTTATTTTAGAATCAAACCAGTTGCTCTTTCATAATTCATAAGATCTCATAAAGTTACCACTATTCTTTAGAACTCACAAGGTAAAAAAAAAATCAAAAACCTTTTAGATATTCTTTACTCTTTCTCTAGAGAAAGTACTAGTTTTTCTGGTTTTTATAGTAGAAATATTATATCTGTGCCATCTTGTATAATTTGGAGCCCCCTCATTTGAAAGACAAATGTAAACTGGAAAGATGCAGAATCTAGATGTCACATCTTAGGAAAAATAGTCTGAAAAATTAGTAGATTTAGAGAAAAGAGAGAATGAAGGGGATATGATTATAGCCTACAATAACAGAAAAATCAAGCCAGGACCAATTTGTAAATATATTTTTTAATTTTATTTTTTAAGTACAGTTTACATTTAATATTATTTTGTAATAGTTTGAGGCTTACAACCTAGTGGATAGACAATCATACGCTTTACAGTGTGTTCCCCCAATATTCCCAGTACCCAACTGGCACCATGCATAGTTATCAAAATATTATTAACTATTCTTCTATGTTGTACTTTACATTCCTTGGCTATTTTGTAAAATGTACTTTAAAAGTTAAATATAGTCTCAGTGTTAAGTAGATGAGCTTGAAAGCTGTATGTGTTTATTTTGTGTATGTTAGTATTTTGAGATATTTGTTGCCTTTCATTCTTGGCAAGTAATTTTAGCAAGTGATTAATCCATCAGTTTATAAATAGATTAAATAACAAAGAGGATAACAAGACAAACAAAATAAGATATATGTAAATATTTTTCCTGCTTCTATTCTGCCTCTGGATGCTCCTTCATTCCTGTTGATATTTATTTGCTGTGAAACCAGAATCTTTCCTATCTCTCTATGTGCTTTCCACTCACTGAAAAAGCACAGTCTTGCATGACAAGAAATCCTGGTATATCCACATGCCTGGTAAACACAGCCACGTGTTCATAGGGCTGTGCATGTAAACAGTTGCATTCTGTATTGCATTTCTTGATCAGCTTTAAAATAACAGATTATAATTGCTCTTTTTAAGCAAGCTCAGAAAAATAATTGTTTTATTCTAGAATCAGGGAACAAAGTCAATCTCTTTCATAAACAGTTTTTAATAAAAGAGCCAAAAAAGTTATGAAGACAAAAACTGAGGAATGATTTCAAATACAACTTTGCACATCTCCCTCTTTCTCCTTCTACACTGCCACTCCCACTGTTCTCATTTATTCTGAACCTGGTTACTACAAAAAATAAATAAAAATCTCCAAACAATTTCTAGAATTCTAGTGTGGCTACCTGCTCCTTAGAGACTAGAACATTGTCAGAATCATGTCCCTTGTCAATCTTCTGCCTGAAAGAAATGTTTAAAATTTTCCACTTATAACAGAATTAAGCCCAGACTCCTTTGTCTGTAGTTCTTCTTGAGCTGGTAACAGCACACCTTTTAATTTCTTTTCATCTGTATTCTCTCTCATAGGCCTTCTGCCCCAGTTAAACCATGTTTTTATTTGGTTTAGCTGAAGCAAAGGCATATTTTAGCTGGAGTTTGAAAGTACGTTCAAGCTCCATATTTTCAAATCTTAGTTCCTTGGCTCATTCTGCCTCCTCTCCTTGGAAACACCTTGCACATTTTTTCTGTTTTTGATCCAATCTATTTGTATCCAGAAAAAATGTCATATAAAGGTTTATATATGTAAGGAGTTTATTTTTTCCTTGGGTAAAAACAAGTCCAGACGTGACTGTCCAGTACTGGTAATATGACTTCACAGAACCAAGAAGAGTCCAGGTTACTTTTAGATTTTAACCTTCTGCTTCTTGCCTCATGTTTACAAAATGACTGCTCCATTGCCAATACCACATCTACATTCCAGGCAGGAAGAAGGAAAACATCATGTGGCAATTGAGTCCACTTATTTAAAAAAATGTTTCCATCCAGAAACTTCCAAATATATTTCATTGGCCAATATTATATCACACACTAATCTTAGCTACAAGAGAAGCCATGAAATATAGCTAAGAACTAGTTGCATGCTTGCACTGAAGAATGAAGAAGAAAAATAATAGGAGATCAATAGCCATTCAGCAACATCAATCACAGATCCTTTAAGACTTCTTCAAATAGCCATTTCTCTAAGCAACTGTCCTGGAGCCTCTCAGACAAAAAAAAATGTCATTTGTGCCCAGTCTTATTTTTGGTTGACTTTCATAATTATCTCACTGTTCCCTGAGGTCTGGAACTTCACGGTAGTCTTTGCACCCTCTCGTGCAGCAGGCAGAAATAAGATACTTAGTAGATACCTGAATAAGTTTAACCTTGTATATGAGTAGGAAAAAGAGAGCTATTTTCTGTTTTTAACTATGGTTATATCCCACTGTAGCAAAAGCATGACTTAGATAACTTGGTCAAGGACAGGCAACCTACCACCAGATATGGCTTATGGCCTATTTTTCCACAGCCCCTGAGGTAAGAATAGTTTTTCCATTCTTATAGTGTTTGGAAAAATAAAACAAGAATATGCAATAGAGACTGTCTGTAGCCTGCAAATGCTGAATTAGGCACTATCTGCCCTTTTACAAAGAGTTGCCAACCCTTGATTGAGATAAAAATTTACTACACTTTCCATTCTGTCCATGTGTGTCATGCGCTATTTAATGAGTAGTTATAGTATCCCAGACTTACTGGAATCATCACTGTCTTTTGAAACCATTTACACGAGAAAACCTGCCAGCCTCCCCTTCTATCAGGAAAGCTAACTTCACTACTCATTCCACAGAGAAACTGATATTTGGACTTACTGAGGGCCTCTTTTTGAATCTATGAGATAAACACCCAAGTTTGACTAAATTATATTTTTGATAATTTTTAGTCAGTAATAATACTCTCCTGTTGCTATATAAATTATGAAGAGAAAATAGAATCCTGAAAAGTCACTGGTTCAATTCGGGCCAAGGCACATGCCTGGATTGTGGGTTCAATCCCCTCTCAGAGTGCATTTGAGAGGCAACCCACCAGTGTTCTCTCTGACATCCCTGTTTCTCTCCCTCTTTCAAAAAAAAATAAAATCTAAAAAAAAGAGAGAGAGGGGAGAAAAAATAGATAGGAGTTTCCAAGTAGGAATAAGCATGAATCCCAATGAATTGCATTTTCTTTTCACCGTTAGATAACTTTAGAGGGAGTTAGCTAAATGAAGAAAGCAGTCTTTTTTTTGTCTCGGCTCTGCTTCATAACCTGACTACATTATCCAAGCTAATGGTTGGAGGAAAGGCATGCAGAACAACCACCTAAAAGCTGTTTTATTTTAATGTTGAGGAAAGTATTTTTAAAGATGTTTAAAGCTTTCCTATTTATAAGCTCAAGAAAGACAGGGAGCTATTTCATCTCTCTTGTCACTGAACCCTCCATTGACAACTGCAATGTCTGGTACATGGAAGATACTTGTTCTAGTCACTGTGTGTGTGTGTGTGTGTGTGTGTGTGTGTGTGTGTGTGTGTGTGTCTGCCTCTCCTTCATCCCAAGACAATAAAGTTTTATGCTCATTGCCACACGTAACCTCCTATTAATGATGAGCTAATTATTATGTGAAAGAAACAAAGAAGTTCATGTATTATGTTCTAGGACTCTAGAAACAAAATTTATGTGGGAGAAAGTGAGATTTGGAACACTGATATGATTTCTCAAGGTCAAACTCATAGTCATGATTGAAATTGGAGTCAACACCAAGGTGCTCTGTCCACAGCACCACGGTGCCTCTATTTCGCTTGATTTCCTTTTCTGTCAGTGCTGCACATTCTTAATTTGGTGGATTTCTTAATAAAAAGAAGTGATGCATTCCCAAGTAAACGCATGAAAGTATTCAGTAAAGGGTTAGAGTAAACTAACCAAAATATCAAGTCACACTCTGTTAAAACAGAAAATCTCAGGGAACAAACCAGCAAGTTCCTTGCAGAGCCTAGGAGCTTTTATATTACTTTGAGAAAATGGACTGTATAAGTAAAAAAAAAGGTGATTCAGTAGAAGCAGTACAATGTACTGGATTGCAGTACCTTTTAAAATTTAAAAATTGTGTTAGTATTCTTCTCATTAAAACAAGTTTACTAATTTTGTACCATAGAAACATTTTTTTTCAAGAGGCATGTGCAATTGGGCATCAGTTAAAATAGTACAAGTATGATTGTTAGGCTTCTAATTTGCAGAGCATTTTTCTCCTTTAAAAGTTTTCATACAAATATAAAAGTACACATGTCATTGGTTGTGAACTTATTATCTAACATGTCTGTGAGAAAAACAAGGAATTCTTTTCATTTGGAACTTGACTCAGCACATTTATCTCACTGACTCTTAGTTACTGTGTTTCTGTTTACAGCCTATGAAATACTCTCACCAGAACAAAGGTCCCAGCATTGAGAAATCAAACTTTGAACTCGGGCAGTTGAGCAATAGCGAAAGCCAGAGTCCACCTGAACTGTTTGCACTCTTAGAGGTCAAGTTTAGACCCAATGTGCCTGGGATTCCTTTTAACACTGATTTGTCACAGCAGGAGGCTGACGAGATTTGCCTGCAAGGACCAGAAACATGCACTGTGCCATCCAGAAAGCAGAAGTGCTGGATGGGGCTCATCTGATGCAGATTCTCTGGCATGATGGCACAGAGTCCTTTTACCCCGCCGTGTGGCTGAGGGACAACTGCCAGTGCCCCCACTGCTACCTGGATTCTGCAAAAGCACGGAAATTTCTCGTGGAATCTCTTGATGTGAACATTGGTATTAAAGACGTGTCATTTGACAGAAAAAGGGTAATTACCTCTAAATTATCTCCATTTCTCCCTTCTCTCCTAAGATAAATAAAGGTGTTAGTCTCCAATAATTTATAATGAATTTTTTCATTTGATTGTATATATTACCAGGTTTGCATAGTGCTTGGTACAAAGTAAGCCTGCTCAGTAAATAGAAGATTCTGTTATTATCGCTACCATTTTTATTACTGCTACTATTTTTAATAAAATCTACAGTGTTACTCCTTATTCCTTCAGTGAGGGACAGCTTTGAAGATACAAACTATTTCTATAAAAAAAGAATGCTTCTGGGCCTCAGTTTACTCATCTGTAAGACAGCTATTCCACCAGAATTTGTTCAGAGAGCTGAAATGAGGAGGATTCACTGAGATAATATGGGTAAAAGTGTTTAACATAGTGTCTAGCATATAATAAGTGGTCAAATTGGTGAGTAAATGTACAAGGTTTATTCCAGAGGTCCCAAAAGCATAGCTCTCAAAACCACAAACTACATGTGGCCACCGTTTTGTGTTTCTTCCTTCCAAATTTATTAGCATAGTTACAGAAAAGCAAATGTGACCAACCAGTCACCCTCTTCCCATTCTTGTCTTCATCTCCACTTGAGGAGGTACTCCCAGGGTTCACCGCTTGGTAGCTGTGTGACCATAGAAATAGCATTTACTTACATTCCTCACCTGAAGTAATGTGAGTGATAGTAGTACCTTCTCCCTAGCGTTGCATGAGGACTGATGAGGTATGTTTGTAGTGCTCTTATTACAGTATGCACTCAAAATGGTGTTACTTTTGTGCTATTATTTTTATCTGCATGATCACATCACTACTATTTCTGACATTCTGGGCAGGAACATTAAGTGATATCTAACTTCAAGTCATCACAGAAAGTTTGGAAACCACAGACTTAGAGAATATAGAACAAGAATGTCAGATCTAGCCAGGATTTATTTCTTGTGTGATATTTAAGGGGCCTCGGAACTCAGAGGGATCTCCTTGGCTTTCAGCATCCTTGTTTTCCAGAAGTTTATTCTATGCTTGTGTGTGCATAGGCAAAAAAAGACAAAAGAAATGAATTCCCTGATTATCTTAAATAACATTAAGAAATAGGGCAACAGTGAAGAACTGAAGTATATGGAAGCATAATATACATGTAGGTGATACTTGCTTTCTGTGTTATCAGGTTCTTATCACATGGCCAAATGAACATTACAGTGAATTTGAAGCTGATTGGCTGAAGAAAAGATGCTTTTCACAGCACGCCAGGGAAAAGCTCCAAAGGGAATTGTTTTTTCCAGGTAACCTTCCCATGGTCTTCAATGTCTAAACTTGTACAGTAAGAAATTTTCTCAAAAGCCAATTCAAACCCTTGTGCTTTCATTATAATATTATGGTGATTTATATGATGAACATGTGGAATGTTCAATGGTTTGCCAATACAGATCATTTGGAGAGTGATGAAAAGAAATATAGATCAGTTCTAGACATTCTAAAGAGACAGGAAGGAAAGAAATACAACAAACATGTATCTTTCTCATATACTGTGAAACCTGGCACACCACAAACAATCCAAAAGTGATCGCTGCAAAACTGTGAAACAAACCAGAGTTGCCCTTCTTAATAATTTTACCTAAGTCCAGAATAACACCAAGTCAGCTAAGCAGAAATTCCTATCCTGGTATCCACAGATAAAATTATGCTGTCCATGGAGCCCATGAAGTCACGTACAGCATTGTGTATATATGAGAGTATGCACACATGTATGAGTGTGCACAGCAAATTGGCTTGGGGAGAGTTTATATGGGTCTCAAGAGAATCTGTCATCACATAAATGTTCATAGAATCTGCAACAAATGGATTTGAAAGACAAAAAGCCTTTATTCTTGAGCAGAGATGAAATAAACTAAATATTTCATATAGATAGAAAGCTCTTTTTAAAAGTACAACTTTTTAGGAGATGCACAATAATTACGACTTAAGCAGTGGCACTGGAGAGAAGTAGAAAGTGTTAATAATTTACTCTCTGTGTATTCTGAAGATTTGTATCATAAGATTATGCAGGTCAAAGGCAAATTCTAAAAACATGGTGATTTTTACGTATTTACTAGAATCTTGACTTCTACAAACACACTAATAAGGCAAGTTTCCCTAAACTTTCTTACCCACTATCAACCAGAAATACTGAACTTCTGCCTCTTCGAACCTTGCTGAATTTGTAACTCCTCTCTGGGAATTCTGGGCCATATCCCAAGATAGCAATATTACCTTACTCCTTTCAATACTGAAATCCTCAGATATATGTGGTAACTCTCCATGATTTTAAATGCTAGGCTTTAAACAGTTTACTGGATACGGAGATGTTATCAATTAGTCATCTCGAACCGCACACCTTCCCCTGGGCCTGTGGTTATCAACGGGATATGATAGTGCCCCCTTCCAGTTGAATCATAGGCCAGTCTTGTCAAGAACCAGCCTCTTTTATTCCTTAGTCTCACCATTCTGACAACTGACAAGATTTTCTTCTAGTGCTTTCTGTCTAAACCACCAGGAATCCATTTTCCTCCTTATCTAGCCCAGCCTGCTGGTAGAACCTTCGTGGGTACCCAGGAAAGTATATATTTCCTACTTTCCCAAGTGAGTGCATTGCTGGATACTTCAAGAGGTCCCCAGTTACACAACTGAGGAGTGACTGGGTCACATAGCAGAATCACTAATGTATTATTATTTTTTATTTATTTTACATTTCTTCTGGTACTCAAAATATTTTTCTTTAACCCTGCCTGAATTTAGTAATCCTGTGGGATTTTACTTTAATTTCCTGTGGACTCTTCTCTTCATTATTTCAGGAAATAAAAGAAACTTTTGTATTATTACAGCTTAAGCTTCTAAGCATTGTAAAAGGATACAGCCCCCGCCCCCTGCATGAATATTTCTTGAAGAGTGCAGTTTATAGCTTACATTTCTCAATACTATCAGGCAGTAGCAAAATGGAAACGATACTATACTTAGTTAAGTAGTGGAAAAAACTGGTCACACTGACAGACTGCAACCATGAATAATGTAAGGAGAACTGGCTGCTTTAGGCACTGGAAAATATTTTAATGGTTTAAAACAAGATCAGGTTTTTAAAATATATTCTCAAGCTGTGCAGTTGGTGGGTTAAAGACGAAATTAATGGGCCATTTTGGAATATTGCTTCTATGGCTGTTTGCCTGTAGAATCTGACACCTATTCCACTGCGCTCGCGTATTTTCAAATATTTGTTCTCCAGAATATGTAAACAAGCTCAGTTACGTTTGTGAAAGCATTTTGTTTTGTTTTTAGTCCTCAGGGGCAATTCTTCCTCTTCTGTTCTTTCCTTAGAGTGAGGAAAAGCCTTTTAAAATCTGGCATCAAGATGTAGACTTTCCCTTGATCTTCCCTTGGCACTAGATGTTGAACTCGAACCTGACAAGACAAATGATAAGCAGCCAGAAGAAGCTCGGTCGTGGGAAAGACACAGCCAGAAGGAAGATTTGGACAATAATCATTCCCTCATAATTTTCTGTTTAGTGGCACATAGATGGGGCCCCTATTTTGTGCTGGAGCCTCTTTAAGGAACTACCAAGTTTAAAAAAGACATGGGTTCCATCCTCGAGGGTTTATCAAGTCTAGGAGGATACACTAGCTGTGAAAACAAATATGTATAATGCATTATTTTAAGTCCATTACGACATGCGTAGCTGGTTAATCATAACATAAAGGAAGGAATCTGAAGAGATAAGGAACTGGTCCTCGGAAGGAAGGTCATGATTGAGCTAGGTTTTGAAGAATCAGTTTGTCGGGCAAAGGTAGAAAGTCAGGAAATCTTCAACAGAGGAAAAAGCCTGTGGAAAATCCTGGAAGTGTGAAATAGCAGGGTAGGCTTGGGAAACTGCAATTTGTTTAGTGCTGCTAAAGTTAAAATTGTCAGGCCACAGAGAAGAAGGAAGGGGCCAAACCATCAAGTCGCTTTAGGGTCCGACTAAGAGTCTCAGTCCTAAACCCTTAGATAAGGAAGTTTCCTCAACATAGAATTCAAGCATGTTCTGTTCCATTAGTTCTCAGGTTTATTCTATAAGGCCAGAGAAATTAATTTAAGATCTTTATAAATTTAATGAGAAGATTGCTTTGGGGTTGGTTTGATTTTTTTTGGAACATGTTTTATGTTTTCAGAGTTGTATATGCATTTTGACCAAATGCATATCATTATTCAAAATCCATACCAGTTTGCAAATGTCTCCTCAGCTTCGTTTTTCTCTTGTTGCATTTCTCCCCTCTCCATTGTACACCTTTGGTTCTTGATTTGTGTTCATTTTACAAAAGACAGTGAAGTCATTGGATCTACATTGTAGGAAGGTCTTGGTCTGGTCATCTGTGTTGAAGGGACTGGTGTGACGAGTGACCGGGAGCAGAGTGACCATAATGTGGCCTAAAAATGATCCCGTGAAAGAACTGAGAGCCTAAACTGGGGAAGCAGCACAGACGGTGGGGTTAGAATTTGTACTCAAGAGAAACATATAATGACCTGCAGGATAGGAGGTTGGTGGTCCTGTTCTTTAAACTCTACCAACTTAAAAATGGATTGATGAAAACCAACACATGTACGTGTCCAAATATATGGATGAAAGTGGAAAACTTACTAGCACATTCAAAATATGAAGATTTTTATGTAATCATATTTTAGCTTCCATGTGAAACTGACATAATTGCACACTTATTTTTGTGACTAACTTTAATATGCAAAATTCCCATAACATAATTGATAGGACTGAAATGGAAAAAAATTAATACACAAATAATGCACAATATGAGGTTGTGCATATTATATATATAAATATATATATAATATATATCTAAATATATATTATAATATATATTATAAATATATATATATAAATATAATATATATATAAATATAAATATATATATATATCTAAAAATCTGTTTTTTTAAATTAACACCCAGTATCAGAATGAATGCTTATTCTATCTCTTTCAAATGTTACTGAAATATTTGCATATTATTCCCTGACTTTAGTAATATTTGTTACTGCAAACAGAAACTTAAACATTTGTAATTTTAAGCAGATTTTTTTCCCATGGAGGTAGTCTGCTCAGTTTTTCTCAGCAGTCCAGAGACTGAGTACATTCCATAGTCAGAAAAGAACATTTCTTCTCAATTTGATATGCCCCTCTTATAGTAGAGCAAATCTCCTCCTGTCTCTTTCATCAGATTACCTCCCTTCAGCCCACAGCCATAACCCCCTCTTTTGTTTCAAAAGGACTAAGCCAGAGAGGGAGTGGAAACTCTCAAATGACTGTCTGGGCCCTCTAAATCACTGCAGGTTGCCCATGACTGGGGCGGGGGAAGGGGGACGGTGGGGAAGAGGGGGTTGGAACATACCTCCCCTTGCTTGCAGGGGGCCATGTGTGTCCTTGAAGAATAAGATTTTTATTATAATGCAAGGAATAGAGTTGTTTTGGTACAGACAGTACTTTTACAGATTTGTTTTAAAAAAGCAAAGAATCACTGCTTTTTTTAATTAGCAAGTAATATACATATTAAATATACCTAACTCCCTTGTGATAGTTTGCCCCTGTCTCTAAGCCTTGCCCCCCACCTTCACCCATTCTTAAACCCCCAGAGGCAGGACTCTGCAATGCAGGGCAGAGGTAAGGTGAGGACATTGGTTTCATATATTGCTTAATTATTATAAAGGGGTCTGGGAGGTTGCTTTTTTCAGGCTGCCTTAGACCATCCCAACCAGTGTCACAGCTGCCAGGTCAGAATGGCTTCAGAACAGCTTTGCTGAAACAGCTGCATCAGAGCAATCAAGCCACCACATCGCATACCCTAATGGAGTCCCTTCCTAAAGAAGGATGAAAGATTCCTTCCCTGAGGTCACCCAAGCTCACCCTCTGAGGCGTAGGTGGCATAACAGCTCAAAGTCTTCATATGTTCAAGAAACAAGTCTCTATTCTGTTCTACCTCTTATATGTGAAAGGGACCTACTGACTTTCATAGAAATGTCTTTGGGGCTTTGACAAAACAAATATGGGTATTTTAAATGCCAGTGAGTTCATACATGTATATTTTGCTTCATTTTTACTCTGGGTTATACCAATGTCTTCCAATGTGTCCTGCTCTTTTTTGAATTACATATCATTTATTGTTACACTCAATTTCTGCATTGAACTTGATACACTTGGGCATAATAGCAAAGGTTCTAATATTCCTACAACAGTTGGAGTCACCCTTGTTCTGTCAGTGATCCCAG